AGTGCGAAGGTTCAGCGAAGCAGCTGCTAAACAAGCGATAAATAGGGAACTTGGGGAGCCTGTTTCCAACTGCGAATGGCAGAGCTGCAGAGGTGGCTTTGCTCCGCTTGGATGGTGCTAAATTTTCCTGAGCTCAATAGCAGAGAAGACAATGAAGATCTCAGACGCTGGGATCCTATTCTCCGACTGCCTTCGCCTCGGTAATTTTGTCTGCCCACCTCCTGCTCCTCCTCCGGCAAACCTCCGCCCCCGGGCACAGATGTAGCTGCAGCGTCCGCCAAAGAGGATTACGAGAGAAAAGGAGCTGGGAAGACACTTCTCCTGCCTTCGGCTGCGCATCCCTCCCGGGCTCATCCTGCAAAGCGGGCTGCTCCGATGGAAGCCGTTTGCACTGAGCCTTGCAGCACGACGGGAGGTGAAACATCCTCCTGTGCCCCCCAACGCCCCGCAGGGCCTTTCTGCTCCATTCCATTCCTTCCCCGGCCCCCACCGCATCCCGCCCGAGCCCACAGCCTCCATGGGGTCTTCAAGAAAACATCTCAATTCAGATCCAAGTCCCCGAAATACCAGAGGAGCTCGCTCGGGGAAGGGTCACTGTGCTCAACCCTCTTCTTTTCCCCTACGTGTTCAGCATTGACCACTGCTGGCGAAGCTCCCAGCCCAAGGTCCAGCACGTATGGCCGCTCTTATGTTCTTAAATGTACACACCTTTCCTTCAGGAGCATCCTTTCATGAAAGCCGGTCCCTCGTGTGGTCTCAGCATAAGCAGATGCTGCTCGTTTTTGATGTCCGTTGCAGACGGGATCATTTGATCTTCAGATTTCTCAGTGAAGTCAAGTCATAGCCTGCAATTTCCTTTCAGATGCATTAAGTTCCTGCATAATTTTCAATTCACTCTTGCGGCTGATGAATAGAGAAGGGTGTTCTCCATCAAAGGCAGTTTATTAAAATGCAAATAAACTTCAGACTGAAGGTCCATTTGAGCACTGAAAATCACGTACATCAACAGAGGATATTACATTTGGTCCCAAGAAGAACTGAGGAGCAGAATTTTTTTTCTGGGGGGAGCCAACATCATCCCCCATCACAAGCGCTGCCCGCCTCCTCCCACCGAGGGACCTTTATCCGTGGCTGATGGCATCGCCCCGAACTCCGGGCAGCCAGAGCTGACGTTTCCCATGCCAGGTCTCTTATCCGTCTCTTTGGAAAAGTTCAGCCAGACCAGGCCAGCCACTTTTGAGGAAGAACTAAAAGCTAAAAAGTTCAGTAAAATACCAGGTTAATGAGAATTCAGCAGTAAAAACTGTCAGTGAAAGGGAAATGTTGCAACGTTCACAAGGACCTTTTCTTGAACAGCACCTGCTTGCGCTGAGCATGGATGGGGCCTGGGAAGGTCTCCTGGAAGAGGTGGTCTCCCTGCACACCTCGAGCCTACCTGGGGCTCCCCGCACACCAAGGCCCATGGAGCCCGGAGCTGTCCTTGGCAGGATGCTCTTGCTGGAGTGGGGATTTTCCCCTCTGTCCCCTGATCTCAGCACTCCTCCACTGAAGACACCATGGAGCACCCATCCCGGATGAATGGTGGTCACCAAGCCCGCTCCCTGCTGCTGTAGTTCAGTTTCGTGGCAAAGGCTTTGGGGAAGCATGCCAGCTGACGTGCCTGGGGAGTCCCAGACCCCCAGGTGTCACCCAGGGCCACCCAAACACAATCCCTCTCCTTGGGCTTAGCCAGAGGAGACCCACCATCTCCTTGTCCCACAGGCAAGGCAGCACTCAACACCCACAGCCTTGGGGATTCAAATATGGAAGGAGCTCATGGATGCTCTGGATTCAGGAATGCAGGACGGGAAGGGTGAGCACAGCTCCTCCCCATCCGTGGCTAAAGCTGCCTGGCAGTTTTGGTACCCAACAGGCGGGAATTGGCCATGGATCGCCTTCCAGGGGAGCTGGAAGGGGCTGCTGGTGACGATGAGGAGGGAGGGAGGGAGGAAGTCACTGCAGAGCTCGGAGGGGAGCAGCCTGCAGATTCACAGCTTTCCTCCTCCATCCAACTTCAGCAGCGCCTCTGAGCAAGGCCACATCACGCCAGGGACCACCCGCTCTTGGAGCAGCACCCATTTCCCATCCCTCCAGCGGGGTGCAAGAGGATGCTGGAGGCAGGATTTCCATCTCTGCAACCTTAAAGTATCCCTCAAAACGCTGCCCGGGGCTTCCCTAGGGGATGGTTTGGTCTCAGGGGGGAGCTGAGAGCGGAATCGGGGAGGAGGGACAGGAGCTGGTGCTGGGTGTGCGATGGCCGCGGGTGCCGAGGCTGCCTGGGGAGGCAGCCGAGGGGAGGGACAGCATACGGGGCAGGATCAAACCCTATTAACCAGCTCTATTTTTAAACCCCAAATGGAGGGCTGGAAAGTGGAATCACCGCGCACAGCCCCAGCTCCTGCCGCCCCTCTGGGCACCAGCGAGGCAGGAGTGAATGCAAGGGAGCCGTGGCCAAAGCAGACCCCTCAAAGCCGTCCAGCAGCCGGTCCTGGAGGAGCCGCGGGCAGAGGGAGGAGGGAGCAGGTCCCGGGTGGGCGAGCTCTGCTCTTTGCTGGGGATCCAGCGAGGTCCCTGCCCGCAGGGGACATCCCCAGCTACGAGGTGTGTCACTTGTTGATTGATGTTTCTGTGGCCATCTGCAGCCGGGGAGGCCAAAGCCGTGACCAGAATCTACCCCGGTTGCCATGGCAGCAGGGAAAAAAAACCTAAAAAAAAGGGAAAAATGCAAGTAATAGGTATGGGAGAAAGGATCTCCAAAAAAATCAAAAGCCAACAGCATCTCAGTGCCACCACAGACGTGGTGGAAGCTCCCGGGTCCCATGGGTCACGCTGGGTCACCCCGGGTACCCGAAAGCTGAGCAGCCGCTGGCTGCAGCCCTGGCTCCGTGCCGTCTTGCGGTGCGGTCAGGCGACAGCAGCGGCACCCGGTGCCATCGAGTCGCCCATCAGCACCCCGGGCACGCAGAGGAGAGGGGATGGGTCATGGATGGATGCAGAGCAGCCATGGGAGGAGGAGGAAGCCAGGAGTAGCCTTACCAGTACATCACTCTCCTTGGGGGGGAAAAAAGCCCCTTAGAGCCTTACAGGACGCCGGGATCAGGCAGAGGTGCTGCCGTGGCCCATACGCTCAGAGAAGTTCCCTTTCTTACATATGAAAACGCTTCAGCGTTTCCTTGTCCTGTCCCGATTGCTTGTACCTCGTGCTGGAGCCCAGGGGCCAGGCAGCCAGCACTCGCCATCAAAGCAGATTTGTTCCTTGCCTGGGCTTTTCCAAGGTCCAGCAGGACTAGACTGATTCATTTTAATTCTCTCCCTTTTCTTTCGTAGGTTGATTTTTTCCTGTCCTGTTCCCCACACCCCTCTGCTCCCACCTGCTCTGCATGAAGGCACCAACACAAGTCCCCAAACCCGTCATTTGGCTGGCATTTTAGCAGCCCTTTCAAATTGTATGGTTGTAGCAAGTAGGTGGTTGAAGCCTCCGTACAAACGATGCCCTTTTTGCTTTCCTGGAAAGAGCCTTCGATGTTTCTCTGCTAAAAATCAAAGCCAAAAGCAGGGGGGAAGCATGAGTTACGGGCAAGAGCCTTCAGAGCTAAGAAGAATGTCCAGCAGGTCCTGGCCCTCTACAATCCAGCCGTGCCAGGAACGGCCACGGCTGGCCGGTGCTCTCCTTGCAGCAGGAGACAGTCTTACCGGGGTGCTGTTGAACCGTGGGTAGTTATACACATATCTTGGCTGTTTGTGAGCCTGAAGTCACCTACGGTGGAGAAGACATGGAGCACCGATGTCCTGGTGTCCACCCCTTCTTCTTTCCACGGTCCAGACGTCTCCTTTCCCGCAAGCTCCTTCAGGAGGTTCAGGCTGGAGGGCTCCCGCACGGCAAAGGCAGCCTGAGCCCCGCACCTACACCCGCTCAGGATTTCCCCCACCACATCCACAACCGTCATCTCCAAACGCCCAGTCTAGGACGCCTCTGCGCCTGCCCGGGCAGCCCGTGCGCCGTACGGATGGCAGAGCTGGGCGGGAACATGCCAAAGAAGTGTCCCTGCGGCAAACTTCAGCTCTGCGCGGGGTGGCCTCGGTCCTGCCCCTGGGGACGGGGCAGGCATGTTGTAAGGGCCTGTGAACCATTTCCCACCCAGCCAAGCACGTTGCATCCACTCCGGTGCTGTATGGCCGTTAAAAATAGACAGGGAAAAAAGGGAGATTGCTCAGGGAGGGGCTGGTCCCTACCTCGGGGGACTGGCAGGTGACATCCCTGTGCCAGCTCTTGGCTACAATCACAAGGCCTTGAGGTATTTCTGCCCCGAGCAATGCCCCAGGCAAGGTGCTTACACACCTCTTCTTTCGTAAAATCCTGCTGCATTGCCAGGACAGCAAGGGCCCTCCAGGAGAGGAGTGTCAGCCCCTCACAGAGAAGGTGCAGCGAGGACAGTTCAGCTCCCATGCGATGGTGTATCAAACGACATGTCCCGTGAGATATTTTCTTTCCACATCCTCTCCTGCACAGATCAGCTGTTCACCTACTCCAGCGTCTGCTCTCACCATGTCTGAACCAGATGGGATGCACATCTTCTTCCAGCCGTGGGGCTGGGCTGGATGCCTGGGTGCTGGATCCCCTAAACGTATGGGTGGTTGGCAGTAACACCCCCAAAGAAAGATTTCCGACTTTTTTGAAGTTAACCTTGGTAGCAGAATAGCAGGAGGTCGCGATGGTGTGTAAGAGCAACACTGGACACCCATGGGCACGCACTGGGGGTCTGGGTGCTGCCCCAGGCAAGCGGCAGCCCTGCAGCCTCCCTGAGCCCAGCTGCCCCCCGGGAGGAGACACTGGTTTCTCTCCGCATCCTCCCATCGTGTTGCCCTTTTATTGAGATTAAAAATGGGATTTTGCCAGCCAGAGGTGAGTCTTCATGAGGTGTGGGCTGTCAGGGCTGGGAACATGCCTGGTTTGCTTCCCTCACATCTCCTCGGTGCTTCCACCACCTCCCTGATTCATCTGAGTGTGTCACTGCATGGCAACGGGCTTGTGGGAACACCCACGCCGCGTTATCCGTGGCAGAAGGAGAGGGAGACTTGCCGAGGAGCTGGAAGCAGCGATTCCTCTGTGGAGGGTGAGCGTGGGATCAATGCCAGCAATCCCACCCAGGGCTGGAGCTCAACCACCGCCATAGCCACCACCCCAGCCCAAAGGGGCAGCCGTGGGAGCCGTGAAGGGTCTTTCTGCCGCTGGCCTTCCCACAGCCTTCAGTTTAGGACCTCTTGGCTCAGTCAGCAAGCTCATATGGCTGCCGAAAAGACAACGGCTGTGAGAGGAACACAGATCTCCCAAGCCTATCCGAGCCTGCCTTGAAGACAGCCAGTCTTCCTGACCTGCTCCGCCGCCTGCCCCGTTTGCATGGGAGGCACGCAGCGGGTCAGACACAGCACCAGGACAGCAGCAAGGCCAGGGTAGGTACTGCCACGCCACTGCAAAATGGGGTGTTTGATCCCATCATTGCCTCTGCTGGGGTCTGGCCACCACCATGGCTTCAGGTCAGGTCAGATTCCGTCTGCCAGGGTTTGGTATCCGGCTGGCAGGACTCAGGATCTGAGGCCGGACAGCCGCGGGGAGAGTGCTGTCTCTCACAGCACCTGCCCAGGACGCCCTGCCTCTTCAGCCTTGTCTTCCTTCTGGTGAGAACCCACCTCCCGTGGCGGCTGTCCTGGAGGGGAAAACGCACAGCGGCACGAGCATCAGCAAACCCACGGTGAGGCGTGGTGGCACCTTCTGCTGACCTCAGCAGAGACAGCCCCAGCCTCTTGTCAAGTCTCTGAAGCAGGGTGAGTGTCCTGGAGTCACGGGCTTCATCTGAAGGCCACGTAGACAAACAGAAACACTCAGCACGTGGGTATCAGCCCATCTATCTCATCCCACCTAACATTAGATGTCCACCATGAAGACACCTACACCCGCGCAGGTCTCTCCCTTCCCAAGCCCCTGCCTTATTTCAGATGTCTGATTTAGGAAGAGATGAATCGAGTCCTCGGACGGAGGCAGCGGACAGGGCTGCCTCCTCCTGTGGGCTGCAAGCTGGTGAGATACCTGCACATCTGGGAGCGAGCAGCTAAAAGGCACCTCGCGTGCCCGCCGGGCCTTCCCTGCAGGCTGGCTGTCCGAGTCCACGCGGTGCTGCCACCTGCACAGGCAGATCTCCCAAAAATCCAGATTTTGCCAAGCCCTGGGTAGCGGTTTATTGAGAGAGGATGGACAACGGCACAGGTATCACAAGGGCCATGTCTCCCTTCGCATACAACACATCACAGCAGATGTTAAACAGCTCCGCGAAGCATCTAATTATCACATTAACAACATAAATATCAAAGAATACAGGGAAGCGGACTGACTACCAAAGCTGTGCAAAATGTCTAACCCAGAGACAATTTTCCCATGTAATTACTGTCATGTTAAGCGTCGTTACATAATGATTACAGATTTCAGGTCAGATACTCCATACGTCACGGAAGCATGGTGTGTTTTGACATTTATGGGAATACTTTTTATTTTTAGTTAGTTTGGTTACCATGGCAGCGAGAAAAAATCTGCACCAGACTCAGCTATACATTAGATTTTGGCCTCCCACTTGATACAGCCAAAAACTTTTCAGCTGATTTCCCCAAAATGGTCAGCCGTAAGCCGCGACGGGTGGAACAAGGCTTGAAAAGAAAATAGCCCGCACGCCGCTCTTTAACGGGGAAGCTATTCCTGAAGCCCTTCGTCAATGCTTGGATGAATGCCAGCGCTCATTAGCATATCAAGTTTTACTTATTTAGATATCTCCACAAAGCAGACTGTACTGCATGGGTTAGGAGAGGTTGAACGGGTTTAGCTCATGATGAACGAGCCACGTTCTGCTCAAAGCAAGCAGGAATTGCCTGAAAACAGGAATATCTTGCAAATACCTCGGGTCCCGTTCCTGAGCTGCACCCCGGGCGCCGCGGGAGCCGTTGGCCAGAGCTGCTGGAGATCGCCAGCGGGAACGTGACCCTGGTGCACCGTGGAAGGGTGGCTTTTATAGCTCTCCTAATTGGGAAGCAAGAATCAAAATGCCTTCCCTGCCCTCCTGAGCCTCTCAGCCATTAGCGCACCGAGAAATGACGGAGGGGCGGCTGTGATAAATAACTGCCCATCGGCGCTGCATCGCTCCCACGCTCCCTTTGATGAAATTCCTCCGGGTGCCGCGAGCTCGCCATGCTGCGGCGCCCGCTGAGCTGCAGATGGGGTTGGCTTCTAGCAACAGCGATTTAACTCCTGGAAAGCCTCCGGAGAGGGAGCACTGCAGAGGCAAAGGAAGGACCCTGGGTTGCATCTGCAGGAGTTAAGACCAGCACACTTAACCCCTTCTTCTGGCAGGGGACAGCCCGCTCTAAGGTGGCGGGAGGCGATGCAGAAAGCGGGGGGGGGAAAGCACCCGATCAGCCGCCGCAGAGGGACGGGGTTGGGGCAGAGCTGGCCCCGCCCTCGGC